TCTCACAAGTGTGTGTGTGTGTGTGTGTGTGTGCACGCGCGCATGTATGTGTGTGTGTGTGTGCGTGTGAGTGTGTGTGTGGTGTGCGACCTGGGCGTGTGTGGGTGGGAGAGGTGTTTATGTGTGTGTACGTGTTCCGTGTGTGAGAATCAAGGATATGTGCCCAAGGGAAAGTGTAGTGCGTCGGTGGGGGGACAGGGAAGGGAGTTGCAAGAGTGGCACACATAGAGGAGACATGTCCTGCCACGAACCCAGCAGCCACACAGCAGCAGTCCAAGCCGCAGCCAGGGCGGCTCCTCCCCGCTCTTGCCAGGCGCCGCCCACGTCTCACACAAAGGCGCGGCGCGCCCAAACCGCGCCGGTAGCCGGCCCGGGGGGCAGCGGCATGGGCCGGCGTTCTGGGCAGCCGGGGCCGGGGCCACTCACCCACGAGGGGAATGCCCGAGATGACAAGAGAAAAGTGCACCAGCTTCATGCCCCCGACTGCGGCGCGAGAGATGATCAGGCATGCGCGGCGGGCGGCAGATGGCACACTCAGGGGAGGGAGGGGAAGGCGGCAGGTGCACCGCTGTCTGCAGGTCTGCAGGGTGAGGGAGTGGGTCCCCCTAGCCGCCTCGACAGGGTGATGCAGGCCACGAGCATCAGTGCTACAAGAGGCCGCATGGCCTGATGCGGCAGAGGGCTTGGCAGCTGCTGCCCAGCATGCCTGGCAGCATGCACTTCTACTCACACATTTCCGCCCCCCATCGCTGCGGCTGCTCCGGCCTCATCGCATCAGGTGGGGTTGGGGTTGAGGGTAGGGTGGGGGTCAGACTAGGGGTGGTGTTGGGGGTGACTCACTCATGGTGAAGCTGAGCACTTTGTGGGTGAACAGCAGGACACCCTTTCGGACGTTGCGGGGGAACGGCACCGCCAGCAAGAGGGCCAGAAACTGAGGGAGGGGGGGCGGGGGATGGGCGGGGTGCGTGGGGTGGCTGGTCGTCGGGTTGGGGTGCGTGAGGTGTGTTTGAGGGGAAAGGAGGTGGGCGTGAGCAGGGGCACTCGTCGCCACGGCCGCAGAGGGAGGGCTGAGACAGCGCCTGATCAAAGGCTGCCACGAGGCTGCCGCGCATTGGTCGGGCCCCGCGGCCGCGGCGGGGCTGTGCATGCACGGGCGCGCGCGTGGGGGTGCGGCGGGGCCCCGGGGCGGAGAGCATCCATGCGGACGGGCGGTTGGCGGCAGCGGTTGGGGCGCAAGCCGCACCAGTGGAATTGGCATGAAAAGGTTGACCTGTCAGATTGGAGGGCACGAAATGAAGGGCGGTTTCGGACATGGCAGGGCGTTGTGAGGGGTACGCTTCTCTTGTGCCTGCTGCTGACCCCTGTTGTGCGGCTGGCACAGTGGAGAAATCCAGAAGCGACCGGCCCAGATGACGTTGGCCAGAGGCTCACCAAGATCCTCCATCCTCCCAGCGAGCCGGCCATGGCGATCCTGTTTGGCGGTGCGCTGGCAGGGCCTGTTGATGCGGAAGTGACGCCGCGTGGGACGGGACGCTGCCGGCGCTGGTGGTGCCTCAAAGGTCGCTACGACTTGCAGGACTAAAGTTTTCAATTTTTTGCAGTGCTCCGCGGGGGTCCGGCACGAGCGACACAGCGGCTACGATGAGAGGCGGGACAGCAAGGCTCGTTGCCAACGGCCGCAGGCTAGAAGCAAGAACAAGTTCTATATTGAAGCCGATACTGGAACTCGCTTTTTCGACACAGTGCACGACGTGCTTGTCTTGATCTGGGAGGGGGAATTGGTGCGCAGCTGCGCCATGGCCGTGCTGATCGTAATGACTCAGGGTGGCAACGGTCCTCCTTGCCATGCGCATGGCAAAAAGCGTAGGCCCAGAAAGACCATCCATGCAGACCTCATCACCCTCTTGAAGCAACGCTGCATTGTGAACGCAGACCAGCGGACACGTGGACCTGCCAACTCCCTCACATCCGCGGCCCTGCTTGCAACCGCCCAGCGCCCACCCCGCTCCATTACGTCCCGACAAAAGCTTACACGTGCCTATAGCGATACAACCGAACGCCTATGAGATCCCAACCCACAAAAGCTCAGATCGCCTTCATGCCGCGCCGCCGCAGCTGCCGCACGTTCAAAAACATCAGCAGCCCCATGGCCAGCCCGATGCCTGCAAGATACTGCACCGCCTCCAGCCGCGTCAGCAGCAGCGCGACCAGCGAGAGCGGCCCCAGCACCGCGAGCGCCGCCAGTGGCTGCGGCTTCTGGCGCCACACGTGCGCCAAAAACAACACGTGCATCGGCAGCGCGATCAGCAGCAGCCCGACCTCGAGAGCCCAAAACCCGGCGTCCTGCAGCCGCAGGCCCCAGCCGATGGTGTTGGACAGCGCCGCCGCTGCGAGGTACGCAGACACCGCCGCGACCGGCGGGAAGTAGCGCTGCTGCTCCCCTAGCCCCCGCAGCAGCAGCCCGTCGCGGCTGAGCAGCAGCAGCAGCGGCGCCAGCAGCAGCGCGCCCTCGGGCTCGCCCCCAGTGACGTGGCGGTTGACCAACAGGCCGCCCGCAAACGCGAGGGCCGCGCACAGGTTGCCGGCCGCGGGCGCCCAGCCGAGGCCGTCGCGGGAGAGGCGGCGCAGCGCGGCGCCGGCGGCGCCGGGGAGCGACGCGCCGGAGAGGGCGGCGGCACCGGGGACGATGCCGCAGAAGTAGTCGGGCTGGTGGTGGGGCGCGCCGCCGCCGCGCGAGCGGCCGCCGCCGTCGTAGGAGCCTGCGCCAGGGCGGATTTTGCGCGACAACGGCTTTTCAGCACGCGATCAACCAGGCGCAACCCCGCAGAAGAGAGAGCATTGAAGCAGCGCGCTGGGTTTGCAGGGAAGGCGCCCGCGAAGAGCCCAGGGGGCAGAGCTGCTGCCCCCCCATTCAGTCCTCAAGCCCCCGCACCGTTTGCCCTGCCGCCGCCGGCCTCCTGCCCCCGCAGTGCCGCACCGGTGCGCAGCTTCAGGCTGAACGCCAGCAGCATGGCCTGCGCCGAGAGGATCCCTACGAGCAGCGCCTGCACCGCGGCGCGGCGCTCCGCCTCCACCGCCACCGCCGAGTCCGGGTAGAGGCGCTTGAACCTGCGGCGGGGCCCAGCGGCGGCGGTGGCGGTGCAAAGGGATGTATGGATGGGCTACCAGAGGGGTTGGAGGTTGACTCTCGCATCCACTGCAGGCAGCAATATGGGGGGAAGCTCCGCAAATGGCACTACTATCACATAAGGGCAGGCCCAGTGGCCGACAGGAGCAGACACAGGAGCGGACACAGCGCCAGGCCAGGCGGAACCCCGCGTCCACCTGGCGGAATCTGGCAAAGGCACCGCCGACTGGACGAGCAGCGTGAACGCCGCGGCGGCGAGCCAGCCGGCGCCCAGCAGCGGCAGCCAGGTGGGCGAACCCAGCATCGGGTTCTGCAGCAGCACAATGAAGCACACCACAGCCACGGACGTACCCAGGACCAGCGTCTGAGCATAGGCGGCGGCGGAGGCGGCGGTCGCGGCGGCGTGGGTGGGTGGGGCAGGGGATAACAAGGGCGCAAGCGCGGGTTTGGGGGGCATCAATGCGACTTTGGGAGAGGAGTAGAGTTGTTTTGTGGGAGCGTCCTGGTGGCCCCACAGTGAGCAGCCGCCAGCCAGCCTCGCTGGCAACCTCGGAATCACGTGGTGTCAGCTTGTCCCCTCTTCGAAAGATGCCGGCCCCATGCACAAGCAGACGTACGCACGCGCGCACTTGCACACACACATACACACACACATACCTACACACACACACAAGCCCGCGTGCGTGCTCATGAGCAAACGCGAGCACACTGTTGGTCCGCAAGCACCCGCTGCCGCACCAGGCGCCCGCTGGCAGAAACCGCCGCCAAGTGAACCCGTCGCCCGCGCCAGCCTGCCGGCGCCCTGCAAGCCCCGCCCCATGAAGGACGACCTCTGTGTTCAACCAACCATGGCCCGCCACGCACCTGCAGCAACTCCTGCCCTGGAACCGCCTCCAACGCGAGGAAGTACCCGACCAGCGCCCCCGCGCCCGCCCCCAGCACCAGCCGCACGCCCGGCGTCCTCGCGCCCGGCGCGGCCCCGGAGCCGCCCGCCAGCCCCAGGCCCGCCGCCGCGACCAGCAGCCAGCGCGTCCAGTGCTCGCGGCGCCCGAGGCCGCTGGCCCAGACCGCGGCGTCGTCCGCCTCGTGCATGGGCACGTGCCGCTGGTCCCAGAGCCGCGGGCACAGCGCAAACGGCAGGTGCGGGCAGGCGGCGCCGCCGGCGCGGGGGAGGGGGGGCTGCAGCAGCATGAGCATGAGGCCGAGGAGGCCCAGGCCGGCGTTGAGGCGGAAGACGGTCTGGAGGGGGGGAGGCGTCGGGGAGTGTGGCCGGGCCGGCCGAGCCGGAGGATGGCGCGGGGTGAGCGAGCGGGGGCGTTATGAGTGTGGGGGTCCACCGGGCCCGCAGCAGACGCGCAAAGGCGACAATGGGGGGAGAGGCAACCAGCTTGTCTGCCAGCACACGGCTTGGCGCGGGCCCCTGCAAGCCGCTGATTCTTTGGGCATCCGGGGCGTCGCGCCGGCGCAAAGAAATCATGCGGATACCGGGTCTCGCCTGGTTGTGGCTGTAGCACCGGGTGACCAGCGGCGCCAGCGCCGCCGCCGTCGCCAGCAGCAGCGCCCCCAGCAGCACCCCCTCGTGCGGCCGCCCCATCGCCGCCCACTGCACGACGTCAAAGACGGCAAACCGCGCGAGCAGCGCAGCGACCACCGTCGCGGCCGCATGCACGAGGCCCTGCCACGGCGGGATGCGGGCGCGCCGCTTGCCTGTCGGCGGCGGGTGCAGCGCGAGCGGCGCGGTCGCGGACAGCACCAGCAGCCCGACCGGGAGCACCAGGTGCGCCTCTGGCACCACCAGCATCGAGAGCTTCGCGCCGTACAGCGCCGGCACGACCCACGCCGCCCACCGCGGCGCGAGCCGCGCAGCGGCGAGCCGTTCCGAGGCGAGCGCGCCGGCGGCCGAGGTGACGATAACGAGGTAGGGCGGGTACATCTGCTCGGCGCCGGGCCCCTCCAGCGCCGCAGCTGAGTAGAGCTGCTCCTCCAGGATGCAAATCAGCTCGGCCTGCACAAACAGCAGCGCGCCGACCGCGCCGCGCCCGGCGCGCGCGACGACGAGGCCCGGCACGGCGAGCGCTGGCGCGAGCGCCACGAGGGCCAGGCGGCAGGCAGTGCGGATGTGGAGGTGGCCGACGCGGGCGTCCAGGAACCAGAAGTGGTGCGCGACAAACCACGCTGATGTCAGCATGGCGCCGACGACAAATATGGCATATTCGCGGACGCTCCGCGAGTCGTAGTACAAAGAGAGCCCGATGGCGGCCACCAGCGGCGCCGGCAGCCACGGGAAAGGCACGCCGGCCGCGACGGCGCCGGCGGTCGTGCACAGCATCAGGCAGCTGCCGGCGAGCGTCACGTCCAGGGACGTGCCCAGGGCGCCCGACGCGTGGGCGACGACCAGCATCGCGAGGCCGAGGAGGGCGGCGGTGACCATGATGTAGCTCCAGGGGGGGGTCAGCTTGATGTAAGGGGCGAACGCGTGGAAGACCACGCGGCCCTCGAAGCCTGGGAACGAGGCAGGGCGAGAGGGACACGGCGGGGGTTGTTGCGGCAGGGCGCGCGCTCGAGCCGGAGCAGGGGCAGATGGCGGCGGGAGCTCACGCCCGCGGGTCATGCGCGGCCGCGCAGCTGACGCAGGTGCTCCCAGGGGCCCATGCGCGCGCCCGGGTCACCTGCCAGCACGCCGAGCGCCGAGAGGCACAGCAGCAGCCGCTGCGCGCCCCGCGCCACCGCCGGCGGCCCGGGCAGCCACCACAGGCCCCCGGGCAGCACGCAGAGCACAGCCGTGGGCGCGCTGGCCAGCAGGACGACCGCCCAGAGGTGGACCCAGTGCTCCAGGACGGCCCAGTGGATTGCAACGTATGAGATCGGCGGCAGCAGTATGACGGCCGCGGCCATGAGCGCCGCGTCGGCGCGCGACTGCGGCAAAGGGGCCGCCGGGGCCGGGGAGGGAGGGGGGTCGTGTGCACAGCCCCGATCAGCTACTGGGTGCGAACGCAGTTGTTCAATGCAAGGGTTGTGGAGTCGCAGCGCTGTGATGCGACAAATATTGCAGAGCGTTGCTGTTTCTCAATAGGACCGGCCCCGCGGCGCACGTGTGCCTGGCGACCCACCTGCACCGTCGCGTCCCGCGGCGGCGGCGCCCCTGCACCGCCGATCGACCGCTGCGGGCGCGCCTGGTGGAACGACGAGACAAGGGGGCGCCCCATGAAGGCATACAGGCCGCAGAGGATGGCGGCGAGGTAGTAAGGGACGTCCCCCTCGTCAGTCATGGCAGCGATGCCCAGAGACTGCACGACCGCCGCGATGGGCAGCGATGCGGTCAGGACCTGGCGCTCAAACGCGAGCACGACCGCCGGGTGCTGCATCTGCGGGGCGGGAGGGGGGGGGGTTGCGGGGCGGCGCAAGGGACGAGGGGCCGGTGTGCGTCAGGTCTCGCGCCGCCGCCGCTGGCGCCGCGGCGTTTCAGCAACCGCCGCGGTTGCGCGGCTGCGGGGTCCACGCCGGCCACGGGCACCACGCAATCCCTGACGTGTGCGCCTGCCCGCTGCTGCGGGCCTCGTCCCGCGGCGCTCGGCTGGGCGGCACCGCCCGCTTGGGGCCTCCTGTCACCTGGATCCATCTGAACTGCAGCGTGAGCCACATGCCCGCCAGCACAAACAGCGCGCCCATCAGCAGCAGCAGCAGCAGCGTCAGCAGCAGCGGCCGGTTAGACGCCAGGTCAAAGACATTGAAGGCCAGGGCACAGTTGGCTAAGAATAGGGTCGCCCATCCCTGCAGGTATGCACGTGGGAATAGGAGTGCGTGTATGTGTGTGTGTGTGTTTTTGCACACGAGTCTGTGCTAAGCGAGTGTGTCGGTCTTGGAATGCAGCATGCAGGAAAGTCGTGTGCGATGGCCTTGCGCTCTGCAGTGGCACTTTTGCTGGCAACTTCCAGCGTTTCCGAATCTAGACACGTACAAGAGGCACACAGTCGTCCGCACTCCATCAGATGATGACAGCGCTCATCCCCCACTGCCTTGCACCCTTGCGCTTGCAACCGACCAAACGCTGGCGCAGAGCGCGCTGTTCAGCCCCAGCTGCGGGCCGCGGACGGGTCGTGCTGCCTCTGCCCGCACTTTTGCTGGGCGACGTGCTCTAGCACGGGGAGCGAGCACACGTACACGTTGGCGCGCTGCTCTCACCACTGTGAGGGAGCCTTCTCGCAGGGACATCGCGTCAAGCAGATACCAGACCATGGCGCCGACAGTGAGCACTGCCATGACAACGCGCCCGCCGAGCGCCGCCGCGACCATCATGCTGGGGACGAGCGCTGCCGCCGCGCGCCCATTGTACCGGAACTCATTCGGCGTGAAGCGAATGCCACCGCCGGCAGCACCGGCAGAGGCCATCGCCGCTGCGCGCCACTTGCTACCCCTTGGCCGATGGGTATGGTCGGGGACCCTACTTCTCTAGGATCCGCTGCCTACAATGGATGCCTGGCTTCTATTTCCAACATCCTGAGCTTGTCCTCGTCCTCGTCGGCACGATCTGACACATACACGGCTTTTTCTAAAGAGGCGACACCAAGAAAGAGTTTCCTACCACTAAAATACACGATCAAATGAGATCTACGTATCACTGAAGGCCTGCGAGCTCAAATCGCGCCAGCAGATCGCACGCGTGCTCTGATCGAGAGTAGAATTGGATAGCACGGCTTTTGACACAATCACACCATTTTCCTTGAGCAGAGATGCTTGGCGCTTGAATGACTGAGAAGCACTGTCATGATACTGAAGAAGCCGCAGTGAAGCCACATGGGTTCGTTGAAGAGTCTTTCAGCGGTCGCCTCTCGAAGAACACTAAGAAGTAAGCATTTGACACTGCAGCCATTGGGTCGCAAGCCGTGACGCAAGGTCATTGCATCCGTCGGTGTTAATTGGTGCTGCTCTTACAGCGCAAACGTGCGACTAGACAGACACTTTGAGCCATTTTGCGTGCTTTGGACCAGCTCATCGAGCAAGGCGCTGCCAAAGCGGCTCATCGCAAACACCTACTGCATAGCGCTTGACGCGAGCGCTCGTGCCGCACTGCGAGCGCACCCGCCAGGCCGCAATGGGGGCGCTCGCAGCGATCGTCGGCGGCATAGCTCTGGTTCCGTTGTCACTGGCCGTGAGCCTGTATGGCAAGGTGAGGGTTGCGGGTTCCGACAGTGCGCGCCTTGCGCGGCCCACCAACTCTGGCACCCACCTGGCAGCCCGCCCCTCGCGCGACGCGCCGCGGCCGCCGCCGCGACCAAACCACCCCCCCGCCGCGCCTCCGCGCAGGTGCCCCTCCCGGTCACCCTCCTCCTTGGCCACGCCGCCGCCGCGGGCCTCGTCGTGGCCGTTTCGGCGTCGTCGGATGCCACGGCAAAGCGCACGACGGGCCTCTTGGGCAAGGACCAGCGCACGGGCCGCATCAGCAAGCTGTCGGTCATCGCGTGGTGGCCCTACCACGTCGGCCTGCAGACCAAGCTGTTCATCCAGTGGCGCAAGAACAAGGGGCCTAAGGGGGAGCCGCTGTACAACCAGGTCGCTCCGCAGCTGTGAGCTCCCCCAGCCTCGGCCACCCGTCAGCAGCCCCCCCCTACACTCGGGCCGCCCCAGCGCCACTGCATCACCCCGCTTTCAAGCTGTCATGCAAATCGATGTCCTTTGACTGCCGCCCGCCACGCCCCACCGTATAACCCGGCCGGTGTTTCATCCACGCCCGCCCATGACACCTGCTGTGTGGCCGTGCCGCAGGTACATCGGCGGCTGGCCCAAGTCGCTGGCAGTGCTGCCGCCCGGGCGCGAGCTGTCGGTGGTGGACGTGACCTGCGAGCTGCCGCGCACCCACAACACCGGCGGGGGCTACCTGTGCCTCCCAACATGGGGTGCGAATATCCTTTGGAGCAGCCGGGGACACATCCTAGCTGGCTGCTGCACCTTGCCGCTTACCTGAAACCCCTTGCTCCTGACTACACGTCGCCTTCCAACGTTCAAAACCCATGCGGGGCTGCAGTCCCTTTCCCCCCTTTTCGTAATCTGCGGCCGCGCCGTCCGCACTGTCTTCTGAGTTCCCACCTCTTCCTGCGTCCCACGCTGCCGCAGACACGCACGCCCCCGACGCGGCAGCCATTCAGAGGGCCGTCGAGTTTTCGCTGTCCCAGCTGCAGCTCGGGCGCGACGTCTACGTGCACTGCGCCCATGGCCACGGCCGCAGCGCCACCGTGCTGGCGGCCGTCCTCATCGCCGGCGGGACGGCCAAGAGCCCAGAGGAGGCAGTGGCGCTGATGAGGTGGGCTGCGTTTTGCTGGCTGGTTTACGAACAGGGGGTTTGGCGCGGCGGCAGCAAGGGGTTTGTGCACGGCTGGCTGCACAGCACCGGAGCGCCTGAGCGCTGCGCTGGGATCGTGCCACAGCTGCATGCTTCCACTCTTTGTGCTGCGCCAACCCCACGACCGGCTGTCTCCTGCACCCGCGCCGCAGGCGGGTGCGCCCCAAGGTGCGGCTCAACGCGAAGCAGCAGGCGGCGCTGCTGGCGTGGATCGATCACATCAGCAAACTCAACTGACCGGCGGCGGCTGCATTTACCATTTGCTGCTATCACTATTGCCTTATGTGAACTCTTCTCTGCTTGGCGTGGGGCACTTCTCTGCTGCTATGAACCACACGCCAGGAAGATCCACGGGTTGAGGCTTGCCCTGCCGTTTTTGAGCCGGACCTGGTCTGCTGTAACCTGCCTGGCTCAGCTGGCCGTGCTGTCAAGGGTAGCAGGGTGAGATGCGAGCGCCGGGCGGGCTTGGCGCAGCGCAGCGCGAAAACGGCAGCTTGCTGTTAGGGATAACACTGAGCCACCGCAAGACCTGCGCTGCCTGGCCGACCTGCGATGCACCTATAGATTGCGTCGTACGCGCGGCAGCGCCACGCAGGTTGGCTGCGCGTGCTTGGCTGCACAAGCATTGACTTTCCACCCTTGTTAGACACCCCGTGCCGCTCTCGGCTCCACTGCTGATGAGTGCTTGGTCAAGCCCCCATCCCCGGCGCCTTTCACGCTGTTGCGGCAGCGGTCCCCAAACGTTGCTAGCTAGCCACGAGTCAAAGTCATCAGTGCACGGAGTACTGTTCAAAATTCATCCAATGGCAGCTCAGCCCGCGCTGCATGCGCACACGCTGCCCGGCTGGCGTCACGGACGCCGCCACCGGGCCCAACACGCTGAGCGAGTGACGCGCCCTGTCGCAGACTCGTGTATGCTTGTGATGAAAGGCACGGGCACGAACGCGCTTCGCAAAGCAGAAACTCTGCTTCGTTCTGCCCTTCCGTCACACTTGCTCTATCCCCGCTAGCCATCAACTGCTCCGTGGCTTCCATGAAGAGGACCCCACTCATCCGGGCCGTTCAGCTGGTGGTAGCGGTCGCACATATTACTTTGGTAATGTAAGTATCGTCTTCAACCATCGCTTGGTACTCAGCTTGAGTATCACCCGCGCGTTCGACACCAAGTGCCACTGGAGGCAGGGACATACGACAACCTCACCCGACATCTGCATATTGAACGGTGCATCGTCACGCTATATCGAGGCCCATACTATGCGATGGGCCTCCCCGTGGGCCAACCTCACCAGGCGGCAGGACAGCACTTGCAAACGGTGCGCCCCAGAGGACTTGTGTGGCGAGAAAATAGCTTATTGCAATCACCACACTGTCATGGGTGCAAGTGGTGGTACCACTGGACTGAGGGCGTTGGCTTGGACCAGGTCTACGAATGTGTGGGAACCGGCCCTTTGACAGGCCCTTGCAGTATGAAGGGAAGCAAGCCAGATTAAAGTCATCTCAGCTTTGTAGCGGGCAGCAGCGGCACCGATGCCAGCGGCACTGCGCTTTGCGTGTTGCTGGCTCAGCATGGCCCACTCTCAACATGCTCACTCGTTTGGAAACGTGGCGCAGGGTCGGCTGCTTGAGGCGTGTGCGGCGCTCATCCGCGATGCCTACACGCGGGATGCGCTGCTGCAGCACTGGGAGGAGCAATGGGACGGTCCCATGGCCCACGTGCCCCTGGGAACGGCACACCAGCGGTGAGCAAGCCCTAAAGCGCCGTCGGGGCCGCAGCCGACGCAGTGGGCGGCTGTCTGGCCGGCGCCTCTATCAGGAGCCACCAGCTGCTCCTACGGCGCAGCGATGGGCGGCCGCCGCCCAGGTCACTCCGCCCGGGCCCAACCCCGGTGGCCGACACTGCCCCTAAACGCTTGCGCATCCGCCACCCCTCGCACCAAACCCGCGCCCCACCCTTGCGCCGCCCCATCAATGAAGCTACCTCGTGTCGTATGCCGGCGATGCTATGGTCGTTGCCCTGCCTGGCACTACGCGCATGGGCGACTGGGCCTGCAACCTGAGCGTCCATTACGAGCCGATGGACGCGAAGGCCGCAGCCAACGCGGCGGCGCTCACCGGTGCCGAAAAGGTGCGGATTCAACTTTCCGGCCGGGCAGAGCCGTGCGCCGGCCACGACGTCATGCCTAGACGGCACGCAACGGCATGTGCCTGCTATAAAATTGGTTGGACGGCCGAATTCACAGGGCACCGAATGAAATGCATCCTACCAACCCCTCCTCTCGCAGTCCCGGCGGCTGGCGCAGCTGCCGTGCGGTCACGCGGGCTTTCTGCACCGCGCGCGCACCGTGCCTGTACACTCGCTCCTGCGGCGCGCCCAGGAGGCCGGGAAGACCCGCATCATCCTCACGGGCCACAGCCTGGGCGGCTCGGTGGCAAAGCTGTCGGCGTTGCTGATGATGATGCTGCAGCACGAGCAGCAGCAGGAGAAGCAGCAGCCGCAGCGGTCGCAGCAGCATGAAAAGCAGCAGCAGCAGCAGCAGCAGCAGCACGAGGGCAAAGGCGGCGGCGGTACCGGCGCGACGGACGCCCGCCATCCCCACCCCATTGACATCCTGTGCCTGTCCTTCGCGGCCCCGGTGTGCTGCAACGAGCCGCTGGTGCAGCTCGTGCACGCGCGCGGCTGGCGGCGGCGGTTCTTCAACGTCATCATCCCAGAGGATTACTGCCTCAAGCTCTTCAATGGCGTGCTGCAATCCGCGGCCAACCCCGAGTGGCTGGCGGCAGTCCAGCAGGCGCTGTTCAGCGAGGGCCACGCGCTCTGCGGCGGCGCCGGCGCGGCGGCCGCCGCGATCGGCCGCGCGCTCGTCGGCGG